ACCGCCGGCCTTTATGGTGAAAGATGTTGGGAGATTAAAGATAAAAAAAAAAAAAAAAAAAAACAAAAAAAGTGGGCCAATCGTTGCAGGATGCGGCTTCATCAAATGATTTGTTACAACAAATGGTTCACCTAAAATGCCACAGCTCAGAAAATTAAACAACGTGACCTTCACAGGAAGCAAACTAATGCTCTGTTGCGGTTTGCCCACCTCCCTGCAAACCCTTATACCTGCCCACCCCTCTCTACCACCCCCGTGTATTGAACGTAACTATCAGGGTTTGTGTGTCCGCGGCAGCTTGTACCTGAACTGGAGCTACTGGAGGGTTTCTGCTTGGTGTTCTGACGGGACTCCTTCATCCAGGGGAAGATCTGTTTGTTGCGGGTACCGGAGGTTGGGGAGCCGCTCTTGGCTGCGCCGGGCTGGCCGGAGCCATTGCTCGCGTCTTGGCTGACTCCGCCGGGGGACTGCGAGGGGGGAGGCGGTGGGCCTGACACCGGCACCGGCGCTTGATGATTGCTTTCGGGGAGAACCTTGGCCTGCGCCGCCTGAATGGCCCTGTCGCAGCCCTCCGCCACCATCTCCCCTGGCTTCTGCAGAGCAACAGAGCCGCCGCCGGGAGACTGCAGGGAGCAGGCGGGTCGATGGTACTCGCTTTCCACATGAGAGGCCCTGGGATATTGGACCTGATTGGCATCATAACCGAAGCCATTTGCGCTTTGATACGGGTAGCCACTGTAAATTGCGGAGCTGTCGTAGTAGGTCGCCTTTTGCATCTCGCCGTTTCCCAATATTTATTTCAGAAACTGACAGGGTCTTGACACCCTCGTAGAATAACATTGGCACCCCGTGGTCACGTGACGCCTCTCCGCCAATGGCCTCCTCGGGTGAACCTAGGGTTACAAGAAGCACTGTGAGGAGGAGAAATGGTGGCGATCCATCTTACTTTTCAATACAGACCTGACACTGGAGACTGTGGAGGCAAGATAGGGCCAACAGTTCTGTGGACTATTACCGTTTACCTTATGGCTTACACAAAAGCGCACACTAACCTTGCATTACCATCTGTGCCAAACAGCATAACACGTTTTCCAAAGCATTCAAATCATTTTAAAAAAAGCCTAACAAGAATCAGGGTGACAGTTTAAAACTCTGAGCCGAGAGGGATAAAGGGAATATAGTTACAGTAGATTTTATGGGGGAAAGTGCCTGCTGTGGAAACGGCTTGTTAGCGGGCTGCCACACAGGAAAATAATGTTTCTGTTACAATATTATTCTACCAACCGGGCTGTCAACAGCATATCTAATTTCCTGTGTAAGCAGGTAAAAGACATTCAGTTTTTTTTCTTCTATTTTTTATAAAATTATTTTTCCCAGCTAGAAAAAAAATCATTCTGGAACAGTCAGAGAAAATTCGGATATATATATATTTCTATTTTTTTTTATTTTTTTTGTATTGCTTGTTGCAAGATAAATGAAAATGGGGGCCTTAGGAAAACCTGAAAAACCAGACGGGCATCTCTGCGCTCCTGTGACCACGGTGGAAACTTTTTTTTTTTCTCCCTCTTAGGGCCCATAATAATTTCCTGCCGGCTCCGTCTTTTTGATATACGAGTGGCCGGGAGCGCCGGGCCCGGTCAAAGGAGAAGTCCGATTGTAAAGCGGAGAAGAAACCCAGGGAAGACACATCTACAGCCTGCTGCTGTAAGAGCGGATCCAGTAATAACAGGAATAACAGACTGTTTATCCATAATAGAGCTAGTTTTCCAGTGGTATTGTTTTATAGACTGAGATAATAATAATAATAATAATAATAATAATAATAATAATAATAATAATAATAATAATGTTAAAATAGATTTGCTTCTGTTTAGTCTGTTTCATACATTGACACGCTACCGTCTCCTTTAGGGATTTTTTTTTTTTACATCTAAATATCAAATTTAAATTTATGCAGCACAGTTTTACCCATAAATATCCAGTTATATTTTATTCTATTTATCTTTTTTATGAATAATAGTAAATCTGTAACTATCAAAATCACGACAGGGTTCCATAAACTACTTATTTTCCTCAGTATTTTATTTTATTTTATTTTGTTTTATTTAATCTAAAGCAGTCCTTAGTCTGGGATGCATTTGTTAAAACATGAACAAAAAAGTACAAATGAAAATAAAAGCAAGACCCGTGCAGCCTGGCATACCAAAAGACAAATAAGTCCAAAGTGACACCCCATGTTTGCTTTCAACGCAGCCTAACTGCGGATTGAAAGACGCTCTCTAATGACCGGTAAAAGGCATAAGGAGACTTCTCCTCTCTGGATCTCCCTGCGAACCATTGCGACAGTCATAAATGGCAGAGAAAAGAGAGACAAAAGGCAGACTTGAGCTGTGCTGCTGCAGGAAAAAATCCGTCCGCCTGACTATGTGTGTGCGTGTGAACTCTTCCTGAACCGAGATCTTAAGTCGTACGGTGATAAATCACCGACGCGACACACAAACTCCACCATTTACAACCGAAAGGGGAGCCTATTTCTGGCCCCTGCTTACCTTGTCCTCTCACGATGAATGCAGAGCGCTGGGCAATATTTTCTCATTCAGCGACGAAATCGATCAAAGGCAGTAATCCAGAGGAAGAGGGGGCAGGAAAAAAAAGTTTTTAAAGGCAGCGGGGCTGACTGGGTTGAAGGAGCAGCGGCAGACTGCGCCCTGCCATGCAGGCAGGCATTAGCAGGCACAACACACAGGAGCAAAAAAAAAAAAGAAAAAAAGAAAAAAAAAGGGAAGAGCCAAGAGAAGACCCCCTTTCCTTTTCTCTCCTTACTCGCCGAGATTGCGAAAGCAGGCGTGAGCAGTCGGGTCAGCGCGATAAGAAGAGTTATCTGCTCCCATGCTTGCAGGGTAATGGACAGGGCTTCATGGCAATATTAACGTCAGCCAAGGCTATGCTTGACTATGAGATCCTTCAGCAGTTACCATGCAGACACCAGTGAACTGCCCCGAACCAGAGCGTCACCGTAGACAAGAAAAATTATGCAAATGAAGCAAGCGCCTTGGAAAGCCAGTCCAAATCAAGTAGTTGCCTCTCCTCCTCCCCCAACATCCCAAATGAGGTAGTCCGTCTAGAAAATAATAACGTTAATAATGCCTCGTTACTAATGCACCGTCCCAAAAGGTGTTTTAGGCAATTTTCTTATCATTTATCCCGGGTCCTAGATAGAAGTTATGAATACAAGGAGATTTTCGGAATAACAAAGGGATACCGAGAGCTGCCTTTCCATTTCCATGGGAGATAAAAGCGCTTCTATAGGCGGCTTAATCATTAACCTACTTTTTCTTCTCTTTTTTTTCTCTCTCAGAATTTGCTGTTTTAGCGCAAGGACGTACAGTTCTTTTTCATTTCAACGTGAACCCGCTAAATATGAAGGAAAGCTGCAGGGCAGTCAGTGCACGTTCTGACCAAAGCTCCTAAATATTAAAGGAAAAAAAAAAAAAAAACCCACAGCAGCTCGAGCACGGGGATGAAAAATGGGCAGAGGTTTCAACACCAAAAAGGCCAAAGCGGGAGGACACGCAGCGTGGAGCAGAGGAGAAGAAGGGAGCCGGGGAATCCCTCTGCATGGTAATGTTTGCAGCCAGAATGAAAGACTTGATAGAATTAGATTTATGACTCCCCTCTCAGCTGTAAACACGGCCAGCAGCTAAAGCTTCTCCGCTGGTTTTCAGGCTGTGGGACAGGAGCATTTCGGTGACACCATTAGAAAGGTACAGAGAGCGCACGCAAGGGACGGCGTGGGAGTCTTGAGTGGGCGAAAAAAAAATCACACATTAGGATTTTTTTTAAGCTAACTTCGCCTTTTTCTTTCACAAAGCAACTGCTGCCACTTTGTGTAATTATTTACTTCTTTGTTCTACGCTAAAACGCTGATTTGGTCCTTTTTTTTCTTCACCATTTGGCCCGAGGAGAGGGTTAAAAGGTCGAGCGTTATAAGAGCAAAAAGCTACGTGGGAAAGGTCGGGGGGGGGGGGGGGAC